AAGGAGCCTCTGTTTTCTTCTCTTTCTCTCTCTCTCTCCCCCCCCCCTCTCCTCTCTCGCTCTTTCGGATACAGCTACGAGCAACGATGGTTAACACGCGCGTTCCACAAATAAATAATTTGTCGTCGACTGAACAAGATGAAGAAATGCGCTTGAAAATCGATCGGGCGATAAGCGATCGGGCAGAACGCGCACCTGCGTAAGCTCGATCGCACCGGTTTCACGATTCTGTCGGACATGCAGGACAGGAAAGCCAGCCTCATACGTCCAAGTTCGCATAACGTCCTTCATGCGCAGCCCGGAGGAAGACGGTAGCCCGTCGCTCGCTCCGTCGATCTCCACCTGGAAGGCGCTCCAGAGATCCTCCTGATCGGCGCTGCGATAGTAGTATGTGCGCATGTAGCGGCGCACGGACGCGAGGAAGATCCGTTCGCCCAGAAAATGATAGATCATGTGCGCCATGCAATTACCCTTGACGTACGACGTCAAATCAAAGACGTCATTGAGCCCACTCAGCCCTCGCAAATCAATGTGCAACGGGTGTGCTGTCTCGATGGCATCCTCGTAAAATACGTCGTGGCACTCGACGAGGAAGCTGGCCTGCCGGTCCCAGAGCATGGGCTCCAACTGTGAAAGGATCAAGAGAGAGGTGGATGAAAGTCATAACGCCGCGATCACGCGACAGTGCGAAATCCAATTGGTCATCGCAGAACCATATCGAAACGCGCATAAAAATTGAGAAATCGTACAATTAACAAGTTCGCCAATTGCGAATCAAGTTTGTTTCTTAAGCTTGATTCAAGCTGAATAACTGTTATAACATGGACACTATTCTTCTCAATAAAGAGTAACATTTTTTACGGTGCTAGCACAACTTCTCAAATCCATAATGTGCTCCTTGTTTCCTGCCTCTTGATTTCTTTCTGACTTAAGCTTTTAGCCAAAAAAAGTGGAGAATAAGAAGGAAGAAGCAAAGGACACATTGCAGATCAGGCTTGAAAAACTGAAAACTGACTAGCGTCACCTTACCACGCTTAACGCTAAGAATCCGAAAAACGAGGAGAAACCTTCCTTTAACCACACGTCGTCCCACCACCTGGGCGTCACCAGATTACCAAACCACTGATGGGCGACTTCGTGCGCCATGATATTAGCAAGGTTTTTTCTGGCGTTTATGCTACCGCCAGTCTCCTTTAGAACAGCTATGTCCTCCCTGGAAATATCAACGGGACTCAATCGAAAATTCGCGTCTGAAAGTGCCCTACATTGAAGATAAAGATGTACTGCGCATAACCAGAAATATTTAGATGTGAGTAGCATAGTTGTTTTTTTATAGTGTAATATGTATAAATCCGAGGAAAAACCGACCGGGAAATGGGTAAAATCTTCCAGTACACTTGGTAGAAGAAAATATCAAGAGAGAAATCAGCGTACTCACTGAATCGATATGAGGCCCCAGTTTTCCATCGCGGAAAACGTCAGCTTGGGGAGCACGATCACGTCGAGCTTGTCCAGCTCGTAGTAGAACCCGGTAAAGTTTTGTATTAATCGGAGCACCTTCGGTATCAGGTCGCCCAAATATCTCGTGTCGTTCGCGACCTCTCTCCTAGACAAGATGGTGTGCGACGGTCGGTCGGTGACGTTGGCGTGGTAGCCGAAGAAATCGGTGACCATGAAGGCAACCAGGTAAGTGGGCATCGGTAAAGTTTTTTCGTAATGATCCCACACGTATCCCGGCAAGTCGCGTCTAAAGAAGAAGATGTGTCTGAAGAACGCCGCGGGAGGTGAAATTCAAATCGGTTCGAGATCGAAAGTCTGAATCTTTCCGGGCATAAACTCGTGACCGACGATTGAATCAAGAAAAATATATCAAGAAATATATCAAGAAAAAATTAATAAATATAGAATTTTAGAATTTTAGAGATTGAGTGTCAAATTCCTCTTACATCTCTTCGGTGACTTTGCGCATCGAATTGGAGTGCGATTGCATGTTCGATTTTCTGCCGATCGAGATGCGAAACGGCGCCTTCATCCACGGCTCATCGAAACATGGGTAGGCCATCCGAGCGTTGTCTGGCGACAAGTTCGACACCGCGATCCACCTGAAAAGGAATAATTTCCGCTCCTAGATCAATTTTAATGCTCGACGATATCGACAAGTCGCCCTCAGTGAGCCCTAAAACGATACTGCCGCTCGTTATTCTACTAGTATCGTCCAAAAAACTATAATTTTATTCTTAGCGAATGTCCTCTTATATATAATTTCAGAAGAATTCCTCTAGAAGCAAAAGGAAAATATCCCAAAAGAGGAACCCTAATTGCGAGACGCTTTCTTCCCATATAGAGAAGATCAAAATTCTCTTCATTCAAACCGAATATTGTTTACTTAAACCGAGTAAACAATATTCGGTTGAAATAAAAAGAATTTTGATGTAAGTAAATGTGTTAATGGCATCTACCTAATAAATATTTGTTAATTTTTAGATATTTTTTCTCAGTGTGATATACGTAATTTTCACGTTGAAACGTCACCTGGTTTCGTTGGTGTCACGATCGACGTACGAACTCCTGAAAAATCCCTTAGCTTTCTGAAGCAACGGGACCGTGTATTTGATGTGCAAAACATAAGTCTGACCCGCCATCAGCATTTGCAGCAGAATCACGTCGATAAAGTTCTCCTCGTCCATCTGGACGTATCTATTGATCAATTTCGACGTGTTCGACGAACAATCGTGATACTCGGTCACGCTGATGTCGCGTATGAGGAGTTTGCGCGCATGTAGACGTATGCGCTTGGTCGGGATCTTGGAGCAGAATTGAATCTGCACGTCGCCGTAGGTGGTGAAATTTCCCTCTTCCAGTATGGGCAGTACCTTCAAGCTGGAACGCAATTTTTTCTCAAGGCGAGACGAAGCAATCGCGCGCTGTTCTATTTTTGCATTATTTCGTAACACTTTCCGCGAACTTTTAATCGTCACGAGAGACGCGCCATTAGAACTTTCACATTTCACGCTCTCTCACGAACAATCCGTCGTTCTGTTCTATCTTTAAGCTCCCCGTATCACACCTTGTGAAATGCCGAAATTAACGAAGGTCGAGCCGTGAAGATTCTCATACGTTGTTTGCGCAACGTGACAGTTGGCGCGTGCTGTTCGTTCACGCGCGATACTTACGTGTATTCCAACGGTAAAACGTGATCGGGCAGTCTCTCGAGATGAGACGTTTTACGAGATTTCCCGCCGGACGAGCCTCTGTGCCTGCCGTCCCGTCGATTCTCCATGATCGAACTGACGAACCAGTAAACGATCATTGCACTGACGAACACGCAGATCAGTATCGTCGCCACGATTCTCGCTCTCGCGTGCCACCATCGCGAACTTCTCTTACAGAGCCCGTCGCCCTTAACATAAGCCTCGGAAATCCCGTCCGGAAGTCCTGAAGCATCGGTCTCTTCATAATTCCCGATACATTTGTCGTCGAGGACGATGTTGAGATGAGGTTGAGATTAGGACGAATCGCCGAAATAATACGACGAACGACATTTCGAGCGACAAAACCGAGGAAGATCTTTTTTATTCGTCACGTTTAAATGTGATTATTATGTTTTATTTCAAAATATAATTTCAATTAATCACATTGATACTTACGATTTTATATTTTCTTTTACGAAATATAATACGTTTATTTATTTCGAAATGTTTGCGAATCACGATGTTAAGCACGAATATCTAACTGCGATGTAGCAAGGCTTCCGCGGTGTGATCACGATATTAATTATCTCATTCAAAGCATCAAGAAGAAATAATCCTCAGTGAAATCCTCTTGGCTTCAAGAGAAGATTCTTCTAAAACCAAAAGAAAAATACTCAAATATCGAAAAAAGAACTCCAGTTGCAAGATTACTATTTCATGTAATCCCATATTCCAAGTGAAAACTTTTCTGAAAAGAAAAATTTATTATTCTTCTTTTAATAAAGAAAGGAAAAAATTATCATCTTTTTCTATTTGAGAAAGAAAGAAAAATTGTTACTTCTCTCTTAACGATGACGAATAATATCGTACTTAGAAAATTTTCCCTTTAGTTTTCGAAGAAATCTTCTTAAGAGCATACATAAGAGACTTCCGCTGAAGATGAGATTATATATTTTCTTGGTGAGCGATTAGAATATTCACGTATAATTGGAAATTATTCGCCCCCTTCGAGGCAGAAACGCGAACAGCTACTCGTCACTACTCACGCGCGAGTCTGCAGTAAAATTCTACGGAACATCCTAAACTCGCAAACGTGTCGAAGTACTTTAATTAATCGCACTCTGTGACAAGTTCCGCTTCCGGCGGCGCGCGTTCCGGCTTTACCTCGTCGTGCACCGCGTCTCTCCATGCTAATCGGCGAGCAGGTGCTGAGCTGCCGCAGGATCTAGCGATCGGACGAGCATTGCCGCGACGGTAAACTAGCGGCGACTGCGCCCGAAAGGCGGAAGACGCCTGTGTCAAGGGCCCGCGCGTTCGACCAGATGCGCCCGCCAAAAATACACCACGCCGCGTACACCATCATCGTTCCCCGCGTACTTTATAGCGACGTTTACTGTCGATCACCATTCGCCCGTAACTTTTTCGCGGACGAGCGCGGGACGCGTCTCTCTCTCTCTCTCTTGTTATGCAACCGGGTCGTCGAGAATACACGAACGACGACGCGTCGTCGTCGTCACGCGCTCGTCATCTCGTGCCTTCCAGTAAAGCGCCGGGACCGAGGCTGCGGCGAGTCAAGGTCACATTTTGCGGCCATCGAGCTGATTGGAACGTGGGTGTAAAGACATCTGCGAAGCCGCCTGATCGCCGCCGCCACCACCTGATCGATTCGAAGCGATTTTTACGAGATTGCCCGAAATTGTTAGAATTCGCCAGTTCGATTCACCATGACGGAGACTGTCGAATTATCATTAAGCGCAATTCCCGCCGGTTGATCTCTCATGGCGTCGCGATGACGAACTGCGGGTTAATCGCAGGAGACACGTGGGTGTCTCTAATGTATCTACGCTCGATCTGCTACAGACGCGACTAGATACACGTCGGCATCGGTATCTAGCTTTCGAGTTACTCGCATGAGAATCCTCCTTCTGGCCGCTGATGAGAAATCCAGGCACTTACTCACAGATTTATGCTCGGACAGAAGACTCGACCGAGGCCGCGACAAGTGTTCATTGTGGGATCTTACTTTTTTCCTCTTCTTTTCACGCGACGTCCCATGAAATGTAGAGTTCGGTTTCACGGCAAAAAACCGCAGTTTGTGAGATATTGTCCATTCTAAACGCCCGCCGTGAAGAACAAAGCTCGTGGGAATGGGAAGTCACTAGCGATCTTGAGTCCGATCGGGGCTTCATTTATTCAACGTCAGCTTAACTTGAGTAAATGCTGTTCAAACGGACACAACTTGTTCGTATCAACGTTCGATCACCACTTGGCTACCAACGCAAACTCTGATTTTGTCTTTCTATTTTCGGTCAAGATGTGAATTCTCTCTAAAGCTTGATCTATAATGTGTTATTTGCTTTTTATTATTTTTTCTTTATCTTTTTCTGATTCAAACCTTAAACTTTAAACTACAAAAAGGCAGAAAACAAGCAACAGAAAGCAAAGAACACATTGTAGATCAGGCTTAAAACCTTATGACATACATGAAACATTGAAGCAGTAAGAAAATTGATCAACCACAATCTATTATTGAATAATAATTGATTGTAATTAGTTAATTTACTTAATCCTTACGTTTCTGTATGGACCCAAGTGTCGTACGTTCCAAATACCAACACGAAGATTAGCTTCGAAGATATCAGCATTTTATTCTGCACATAGCGATTATTAATCGAGCGAGAGGAGAAACCTGCGGAACTAACGCGCGAGGTGCGAAACGCGGGAAACGGTGTTTCCGAGCGGTCGTTGCCGTCTTTGGTAGACTGCTCGGCACCGCTCGAGGGACGAGAGTGTCTCGTGTTTCAAGGAATCCCTCTTCCTGTGCCGGGAGCGAAGTGACCGACGACGACGACGACGACGACGACGATGAGGTGGAAGACGGCGGGTCTCTCGCGAGGTTCTCTTTCGGCGTTCGTATCGGCCAGCCGAAGGGGCGCGAGCAGCCAAGAGAGGAAGCCAAACAATACCGATGACTAATGGAGACGCGCGACCCTTGAGGAGGAGTCGACCCCTCGAAACACCGGGGCCCGGCCGGGGTCCTGACACCCACACTCGCTCTCTCGCTTCTGCGGCGGCCACTTTCCGCCGCCTTCGCCCCCTTCGCCCCCTTCGCTCCTGCGTGTTTTCTTAGCTGGGCCCCCACCAAAGATTGACTTACGCTCCTCGTGACGGAGTAATGGCCATCCTGAATCAATGAAACGCCAGCGACGAATTCGTGAATGAATCGCCGAATGACAGGGAAAACTACCCTATCCTCCGCGGCCCTCCGCGTATTTTCTCACCCCCTCCGCGATTTCCGTTGTTAACACGAAGTCGTGCGCATCGTGCGCGATTAATGTTAAAAATACAATTTACTCAAAAAATCTCTAGAAAACAAAGGATCTCAAAGGGTGTCAAATCAAAGGATCTTTATAAGAACCTATATACACAGCTGCAGTGTAATGAAATCTATTGCCAACGTAATTGTTTTCAAAAAACAAGGTGGATGATTGCGCGCAACAGTGCACCGATATATTCTGTAATTAATAACTAAAAATTTACGTGATTATTTGCAAAATGGTAAGAGGACTTTTCTGTTTGACCTAATCTATATATACACGAAATATACGAGAAATATTTTGCTTCAGGCGCGCTATGGGCTTTCATAGACCACATAGGCTTTAATTTCTAATTTCTTTTGATTAAATTTACTCGATTTTTCGTTAGCACGCGTTAACGCATGTCAAGATCGTCAAGCGGACAATTTTATATTATTGTGAGAATATATAGACTATGAACGAATTCACGAAATGTCGAAGTGTCTAGTGAACCGAAGCGAATGATTTCTTCCTTTCTAATAGCACGTCTTTCCCCCGAAGTCGGAAGTTCGTATCGTATTTCAAAGTAGAAGAAATATGGGTGAAATTGCGTTCACTGGGGTGAACGCAATGCAGTTGAATTCGACATAACTACAAAAACAAATATCTCGATGCAATTAAAATTACTAGAATGTTATATAAACACGTTTCAGGCGCTCTTAAACTTCTCCTAGTTGCGGTTCTTTGTAGAACATGAGGAATGAAAATTCATGAGAAATTGAAATTTCATGAAACATCTTATCAATCAAAAAGAAACTACAACAACTTTGAAGAAACTTTGTGTAATGACTTCGCAATCTCATGGTAGTTATTTTTTGTAGAAAGAGGTAAAAAAATATGGCGCGTATCGCTTTAATTTCAATTTTTCTGCCAACGTCGATGAAACTTTAACCCGAGTTTAAACCTTTGTTTGAGTAAAGTTTAAACTTAAATCGGTTTCGACGGAAATTCTCCGACAGATTTTCGACAAATAGTGTACACATAGCCAAGAAGTAAAAAAAAAAAGAGAGAACTCGACAATTCATCTTGCGTGTTTCGAGTTCTTTCGCAAACGCCGACCAGTCGCCTCGGCCGCGAGGAACGACACGTACGGGGATTGGCCAAAAAGCCGAGGGGAACGCAGAGGAAGATTCCGGAGCTTCCGCGGCCCTACTCCCACGAGCGTCCACGACGGCGTTCTCCGTGATGCTCCCCGGCCCTATGACGACGCCGTCACATATGCTCGTTTGACATTTCCGAGTGGGCGCTAACGCAATTCGCACCGAGCCGCGCGCGGAGTGAACCTGCGATAAGCCCTGCGGTGATCGTCGATGTGACCTTCGCGTACGATTAACGAGCAACACAGTGACGATCGATAGGTATTTTGCGCGCCGTCGGTGCACCGACGGGAAAACACTTGAAGTTCGTTTCAGCGAGATAAAGTTGACTTTTTCCCGAAGCAAAATTCATTCTCGCGAAGAAATTTTGTATCCCGCGAACAGATGATTAAATATATTCTTTCTCAGTGTGGTCGATTCATTCGAGATATCTGTCAGGTGCAATTTTAAGCTTCTCTATCGGAGAATAGATTTCGGGAAGGATCTCGTATGACGTGCGAGTCTTTCGAGTCCCTGCGGCCTTTGAGAAATCCTTTTTCCGTTAGATCGGTGTAAGCGAGACGTGCAACTTCCTTGACTTTCACTCACTGCTAATCGTACAATGTCGTCTTGGTCGGAAGACACACTTTCGAGTAGTCATCGAATATCCGATCACTTCGAGTTACCCCCGACGCCGCCGACCCCGTCGTCTCTCCACCTGGAAGGGCAGAACGTGAGATCGGCAACAGGTTGCGAGACATCCTGGTACCACAGGTGGTCCTGGAGCAGCCCGTCAAATCCTTGCGGCGGCTTCGACGTCGTGATGGACGAGAACGCTCGTTTCCTCACTCCGCCTTACATCGTGAATTTCCTTCAAAGCACCGACACCAATCAAAATTATCGCACCTGCAGGTGAGATTTCATCGGCGTCTCTTTCTGTGAGAAATATGAATTATGTAATTCCTTGAAGTCGTGTAATCATAACTGATTGTTGCAATCGTGAAACAACGTTAGAGAAGTTGCCATAACTTCGCCGATGTCGCTTGTTCAAAGCACAACGCTGTCAATTAACGTCCTTCGTCGCACTTTAATCGGTGTATTTTCCTGTCGCGAGATGGGAGCAATATTCCCAGCAATATTCCCAGCAAGTCGCGGAGGACTGTCGCTCGATGATCGATCAATCACACGAAAAGGACAATTCAAGAGGTCTACGCGTGTCCTCGGAGGATCTGTCTTATCCTGCCAATCAGGACCGCTGCGTGACCACCACAACGAGCGCGGAAACGACGTTTCGCACTTGGCAAATGCCTCATTCGCAAGATATGATCATGGACTGCGAGCACGAGAGCAAATGTCAATCCTGGCAAGAGACGCAGCATAAGGAGAGCTACGCGAGTTTGTTCTGCGAGGAGGAAACGCGCCCGCAAGGACGAGGTAACACGTTACTCTTCAATTAGCACCTATCTATTCTGAAAATCGCATCATTTTTGTGTGAGATATGAAATTCTTGATCTGGCTTCTCCGGCTTGACGCCGCACTTTTCATAAATTTATTTCCGACGTTTCGTGAACATTCCATGAACATTCCATTTCACTTCTTCAGTTAAGAAAGAAGTCGAAATTTTTATCCTACTTTCAGCCTTCCAATCAACTTATTTTGACGCGAAAGAAAGTGAAAAGGGAAATTTCGGACATCATCAGAATCAAAGTAGAAGTAAATTGTATCATAAGAATTAAACCTATTTTGCTAACTTAGCTGCTACTGCGTTGTAGAATTCAAGGTTTAACATAGAGCCAAAATTTCGACTCGAGTCTTCATTAAAAAAGCATAGTTTGAAGATTTATTTATGGGATATAAAGTTTATTCAAAAATAAACTCCTTTTCACAAAAATAAACTATACTTCACATACATTTTTTTACATTTTGTTTCATTTTATTTCACAGAAACTTTACGTTCCACGAATAAATCTTCAAATGTTTTTTCCGTGTAGAGCAACGAACTAAGACTGATAAAGAAATAATTAAAAATTTTTTGGAAGATATAAATTGGTTGATTTGCAAAAATAAGCTTTATATCCTACAAGTGAATATTCAACTATTTTCTCTTTCTTAACGAAAAAAGTCTTTTGAAGAAATGAACATGAATGTGTTCACGAAATGTCGGAAACAAATGTATGAAGGACGCGGTGTCAAACCGGAATTTAGATCAAACGTTTCACCACACGAGTCTAAGATATCAAATACAAAATTAAAATCATATAGAATGATGTGCTGATTATTCGCAAAAAAATTCAATCAGAGGAATATGACATCCAATCTTCTGAGAGATCTTCCGATTGAAACGCAATTATCCGTTATCGCGGGAAGTCTAATTATAGAAATAAAAATTTCAGTTGCACGAGAAATTAACTAGAAACATTTCCGATCGCGACTACCGCAGATATCCACGATGCGAATCGTTGATAATATGGTTGGAAGGTTTATGTCTTTAGCGTCGCCAATGCGGCCATAACAGGCCCAGTGCAAGCCAAATATTTATCGGATGTTTAACTACATCGAGCTGGTGTGCATCTTGCGTAATAAATGCCTTGCAATGTCTCCCTGTTGTCATTACATTGCTCAATTTTAATCCGCTCTGCCTCTCGCGCACCTCATCAGTCGACTGAATACTCTATAAATTTTGTGAATCTAAAGATCTTTGTCGTTTGTCCAATCTATAAGTCCATAAATGTACAATTAAATTAAATCCACAACAGTCGCACACCAATCTATCAGTCACTCGACCGGACACTTTGTAATACCAAACATCCTGGTTGCAAATAGTACAGCACAGCAGCCGTGCAGAAAATTACATGTGCGTCTCTGATAATTCTACAGCTTTTACACGTGCTTTCTGCAAATTCATCCGAATAGATCTCAAGTGACCCGATAGTCACTATCGACGCGAGCTGCGAACCACGAGAGATTGACGTCAGCCAGCAATTAGAGATGAGATAGCGGCACGGAAGCGAAGTTAAGGGCCCCGAGAAAGAGAGAACGAGAGAGCGAGGGATAAAAAGGGGAGAGCGAGGCTACAACCGTCGCCGCCGCGGCCACGTGTCACCGTGCGTTTGAAGCTGCGCTTCTAGCGAAAGCGAGATTTCGCAAGCGCAATGATGGTGCATCGGTGTGCCGCACATGCACTGACGCATCGTACACACGGTTATTTTCATCTGGCCGCGGCGACGACGACAAAAAGCCGCTGCTGCCGCGAAATCTCGACGCGGGAAATCGCAAGAAGACGACGGACGAGAAACCGTTGTCGAGGCGAATGACGCGCGCATTATGTCATGATCCGCGCGTCCTCCTCGAGATCATCCTTTCGGAAACATGTTAAACAAGAAAATGTAGCGCTATTTTTCACATAAAACAATAAAAGTAGGCAATGCCAAGTCCAAAAGGTGTGCCTAAATAGAACGGTGTTTCTTAGATCAAAGAATTCTCTCCAATATTATTAGAAATGTAACTTGGAATACTTCAATAATCTGAGTGATCTAAATAATTTGCCCGACCATATTCGTTTACAGAGACGACGAAGAAAACTAGCGAGAAGCCGCGGAAGGAGAGAACGGCGTTCACGAAGCAACAGGTTCGACATCTCGAGTACGAATTCGCGCGGAGCAACTATCTGACGCGTTTGCGGCGTTACGAGATCGCCGTGGCGTTGGATCTGACGGAACGTCAGGTATATAGATTTTGCGTTGTACGCGTCTTCACATTCCCATGCCAATTCGTATTTCTAGGTAAAAGTGTGGTTCCAGAACAGGCGAATGAAGTGGAAACGAACGAAAGGCGGCACGGCTAACGTGCAGGAGTGCACGACTATCGCGTCGTGACGTATCAATCGCGACGATTCAGTACACAATAACGACTGTATATAACGACTCATACGCGGATACAAGACGTTAAACTAGTTTACCACGGTAGAAGCTTTAAAAGTTTGTGTATACAATATTTAGTGTTACAGAAAGTTAAGAAAGTCGAAACCGGCATTTGCCATGTAGACAAATTCTTTATTTACGCAAAAATAATTGATTATAAAAGTACTTAATAAAGTAAAACTACTACTAAAATTGCGGCATGTCGACAGGTTCGAATTTTATACTAATCCCTTTCATCTGCAGTTTATTTTCTAATGTGGAAAGTTTACTGAGCGAACTCTTCACATAATTTTGGTGATCTTCTGCATTTTGGGTACTATTTTTTTGTGATATCGCTCTTTGTCTATTTCTTAGTTTGGGATACTTCTTTTCCGACCAGTTTGCTCCTGAAAAGAAGCCAGAGTGTTGCTTCTCAGGTGGTATATATGTAGCTGAAAAAAGAAAAAGATATGTTGGGAATTGATACACTATAAATGTGAAAAAAACATAAGTCTGTAATATCAAGTTAAAATATATTGAAGCAGTTGTAAATGAATACGATACCTTTCAGTAATCGACCACACATGAGATAATTATTCATAGTCTCCGCTGCAATTTTGGCAACATCCTTAAACATGAATTCAACATAGCCATAGCCGCGACTTTTTCCAGTCTGTAAAACAATTTGAAGAGTTTGTTATTTATATAATTATATTTTCACAAAATAGTTTACAATTTGCTTAAAATATATACATACTCTTTTAGATCTTGCTACTCGTACTTGTGTTATCTTCCCAAACTGTTTAAAATAGTCTTCCATTTGTTCTTCGTAAAATCCATGAGGTATATGTCCCACATAAACTATGCCTTTATCTTTAGATCTTTTTTCTTTATGTGGTACAGATTTAGGTGAGGTTTTTGATATAGATGTAGGTTTAGATTTTGTTAATGTATATTTAGTTAAATTAGACTTTTTCTTAGACTTAATTTCTATGTCTTTCTTCGATTTTTTCTTAATTTCTGTATTTTTCTTCTAAAAAAGAACATTTGTTTGAGTAAATAAAATAAATATTTATTAGTATCTGTTAGTATATTTGAGGCTTTCGTAGTGTCCATTAGATTTGGTTCTCGGATTTGAGCCGCGTGGATTCTTCTTTGTCAAAGAAAAATTCACGCGGCTCAAACCCAGAAACTAAATCTATATAGTTAATCTATATCTGTTAGTAAATAAAATAACGGTAAAATAGCACAAATAAATAGAAATAAACACAAAACAATCTAATAAATACAAAACACTGAAATTAAATAAAACGAAAGTATCGCACAGAGGTTATGTCTAACCTTAAGAATCTGCTGGACATTTTTCACCGCTTTCTCGAGACTAACACCTGCTTTCGGTTTTAACACCTTTCGTTTGTTTTTGGCAATCTTCCGCAAAACTGGCTCCTTGGACACCATGTCTTTTTTCGTTACTTTCATCTTTCTTCAATGATAAAAACAACACACGAGTAATTTTTCCTCTCACCATGTGACTACAATAAGAAAGCACGGAGTAGAACCATGTTCAATCCGTAGACATTACTTGTTACCTACTGAGTAAAATATGGACATTCGCTACGTAGTATGCTATATAGGCACAGAAGCATTTCAAAACAAAGTAACTGCTAAATCTCTCTCTCTCTCTCTCTCTCCAAGATATCAATGATGCTATTGACACTTCTGATTGGCTGTCGCAACAAGAGTGGTAATCGACTTGCAACTAATGTAGAATAACTTTCACGCATTAAGGTCGTTCTATATTAGTAACAAGTTGATCGCAAGCAGACGCAATTCTTATTGCGACAGCCAATCAGAAACATCAATGGTGCTATTGAGGTTTCTGATTGGCTATCGTAACAAGAGTTGCAATCAACTTGCAACTAATGTAGAACGACCTTTATGTGCGCATTGCCTACAATATACGTAACACGAACTATAGATAAATGCGCGCATATGCGTGAGACGGAACACGGCCATAGACAATGGCCCATATTCTGAATCCTCTTTTATCGATAAATGTGTCTTAAATGAAGCTTCTCAACCAATCAGGTGGCTCCTAAGCCTCTTTTAGAAGCACTTTTATAGATAAAAGAGGATTAAAAATATGGGCTAATAGATACAAACCTCTGACATCATGATGGCCGCGACAATGTAATCCTCTCACCCCTTGGGCTTCACGCCCCTCGTCCGTAATCGCACTTTGCGTTCCGTTCATATATTCTTACGTTCATGCTTCTCTCTGTTATTACAAAGCAGTTGCAAGTATGCATATGCATCGTTGATGACAGCGCAAAGATAAAATAACATTTAAATTTCGAAGCTGCATTCTTATAAAGACAAATAACCGGTGAAATTGAAAGGAAGGAAAAGAAGATTAGAAGAGTTAAAGAAAAAATAGACGATATATATCTCAAGAGGTGATATGTAACGTGCTCGAATACAAAACCGAGCTGTCAATTCAACTTGGAAACCATCCAAATTATACATTTCAAACACTTGAAACACGTAAGGTGATCAATCAAAGATTATATTTATCTACCGAATTCCTGCCTTCTGTTATTAAGTTATTTGGTTTATGTCAAAGTTTTTTCTGTAGCAAACTCTCAACTTTATATCATGATAGATTCATATTTATGAACTAAGAAATAAAATAAAATATTTTATATATGTTTTACTTTATTATTTTGTTAATAATTTAGCAATCACGATTAACAAAAATAGTTTAGTAAAAGTTAAAAATATTTTAGTTTTAATTTAGGTTAACAAATGATTTTAGTATTTTCAATGTGATAATTTAATAATTGTATTATAATACAATTGTAATTAATATTTTATATTTTATTATTAATTGTAATATTATAATTGTTATAGGTAAATTGAAAAAACTAGAATAGAAAGGATGGCAGATATACAAGAACAAAGAGACAATGGAGCATTGCTACCATGTAGCTTTAAATTCCACAACTTTAGTGCTAAAATTAGTGATATCACTATTAATTATGAAATCATAAAAATGGAAAACTCCTTATATCTATGGATAGGAGATGATAGAAAGATGGACGATCTATCTTTCGCTCTGACATCAAACTTTGATAGACAACCAATTGCTACAAAAATCATAGGTTCTGCTGCGGATACATCCACAAACATGGCTAGAAGATTAAGCATGAAGCTTCAAAAACCTGTATATGTCAGTTTTAATGTAACAGCAAACAATATATTATTGCCAGAAATTGAGAGGAGAATTCAAGAGGAATTTAAAACGCATGCAGATCTACTGAGTTTTGGACCTTAGGAAATAAGTTCTTCAAATTTTTACACAAAGATTCATATATATGTATATATTAATAAATATACAAATATTATATACATATAAAAGAACATGTAAACAAACTACAAGAATATTCTTGAAGAATTTAAGTTCCATCTTTGAATTATTAATAACATTGCTGCATCAATATTATTATTTGAAATCAACAAAAACTCTGCAGTTGTTGATTCAGATTATTCTTTGAAGTTGATATAGGATTTCTATTTTATTTGTTCATATCTATCAGACAAATTTGCATAATCACATAATGTATATGCATAAAGAAGTCAATCCATGTAGTAAGAGAATGTCTTTTATTAGACATGATTAATCAACTTCCTTGTGTATACATATAATGCCCGTATCAAACTATGAATTAAGGATTGCGATCAGGCTAATCAAATAAAGCAGAACTGAGATTTATATTACTTAAAAAGTCCAATTGCAATTCTCAATCCGCAATCTGATATAAGCAATTATAATGCGATTATAAAAATTTGTGTGGATAGGCCTTTATGTAGGACACAACTTCGATATCCAATAGTAAAGTTTCTAGCTAGCGACATCTTCTGGTCTCTAGGGGCGCGTTCCGTTACACGCTCGCAATGCTCGCGAGCGTCATTCTATCTTTATTGCTTGTAGATGTTAAACAAAGATAGAATGATGCTTGCAAGGGTACGTTCAGATTCCCTACCCGGGTGCACTCTAATACTAGAAGTGCTATAGTATATGTAACATATACTATAGTGTTTCTAGTAATAGAGTGCACCCGGGTAGGGAATCTGAACGCACCCAAGCGTTGCGAACCTGTAACGGAACGCCCCCTAGAAAACAGATTCTCTCATTGGAGAGCGACTTCTCCATTCATCTCCAGAAGTTTGATCTCTTTTTACCATGCTTCCTTAACGGAAGCACGTGTACTAACAAAAATTACAACCTTTATTTGTTACAGCCACGTGTTATTAATTGCAAACAATATACACGATGTTGACCAAAAATTTATTAACTTTTTGCAAACGAAATATAAAATATGAACAGAGGTTCGCAGAACTTACGCCACTTAAGGTATTTATATTGATCCTTTAAATATCGCATAATATATGAATAAATATATTTGTTTTAATTCTCGTATATACTGTTAAACTATAAAGGAATTGTTATTTTGTATTTTGATATTTTTTGTAGGCGCGATGTTTTGTAACGTGTTTACTGCTTACTATATGACAATTTCAATTATAAATTGGAAATTGAACTGAAAATAGTTCCAAAAGTAAAAGTATTTTGTCGGGAGTATCTCAACATACATTTGCAAAGCATTAATTTTCTTTTGTGTTTTATTTATTAATATTAGCTATTAATATTAGATATTTAAAAGTATAGTATAAATTAAATATGAATTTAATTTCTTATTTTCTTGCAGGATTTTCTTGCAGGATGTGAACCTGAACCTGACAGAATTTTGGAAACACTGTGCGAATTTTTAATGAACACTGAGAGCACAGAAGATGTAGCGGACTGCTTTCCAGAATTATTACCAGCACTTGTGTGTATGACAATAAGTACAGACAACATACAGTCATCAACATTGTTTTACAAGGATGTTACTCATAAATTAAATGCTGTTATTCTGGGCAAGCTGATTGTTATCAATCAAGATTTATTGACGTATGCATTTCTTGAATATATATACTGTATGAAGATTATATGTATTAAGCTCTTTACAGGAATAAATTTAGCTTATAATGTTCTACAATATGTTTTATTTAAGCTAAGCTTTTTAATTTTTAACAAGTAACAAATTTTAATTTAATTTGTGGGTTATATTACCAGTAAATGACATACATGAAGGATAATTTTGTAAAATACTTATTATAATTATAATATTAATAGTTCTTTTTTTGGAAAGCATAATGGATTAATTTCATTTATTTCATGTTTCAAAACAAATTTTTAATATTAGTATCTCCTGTATCAACAGAACTAATAAGCATTTTATATGATTTTATTAGAAATAATTATAAGTTTACTAGATGAATGCTTCATATATAATATTAATCTGTTATTTCAGATTTGTTTTACATTACTTTGACATTAATCCCGCACCATTTGAGTCCCTTGACACGAGCACAGCTACTATTACACCAGCCAAGAGGCAAAATACAAAGAAATTATCATATTATATCTCAGAGGTATCCGATTATGATATCGTTACAGCAACTTACAACATTCTGCAGTCTGCTGTTAACCATTTTAAGCACAGATGGAACTGGTCGAAATTTTACAAATATCTGACAAACTCAGATGATAAAGTAAAATGGTAAGTACAAAAGAAGAGATCTTATCATGCGTCTATTTTTATTCAGAAATAAAAAATTCACTTCTTTTTTATTTTAGGGTTGCTTTTAAATGCATAGCAATAGTCTTAAATATGTCTGAATCCACAAGACTGTCGTACGCGCAAACATTCATCTTGAATTCTGAAAAATTTCTGACCGATCACGAGGACAAAAGAGCGGACACGCGAATTTCATGCGCAAGTTTCGAATCAGTGGAACACACAGTCAAGAATATTACGTCTGTCGTATCTGTCGGTGGTATATTGTTGCCGACTCGTCAGAGCAGCAATTGGAAAACCTGCTACGATTTGGTGCAAGTACCTTCTACAAGGAACAATCTGCAAAGTCTAGCTATAGCCATCGGCTCCAGAAAATGTATCTGTTTGCAAGGACCGGTTGGCTGCGGTAAGACCGCCTTGGTGGAGTATCTGGCGAGAATGACCGGCCACGACGCGTTGAACTTCGTCAAGGTACAGCTGGGCGATCAGACTGACTCGAAAATGCTGCTGGGAATGTACAGATGCACCGACGTACCTGGCGAATTCGTTTGGCAGCCAGGTGTTCTCACGCAAGCCGTCGTTGCCGGCAAGTGGTTGCTGTTGGAGGATATTGATAGCGCCCCTCTGGACGTAGCTAGCGTCCTCAGCAACCTGATGGAGACTGGTACGTTGTGCGTCCCAGGTTATCGTGATACCATCTATGCCAACAGTGACTTCCAGTTGTTCGTCACTCAACGATCGACCGCGACGACTGCTCTAAAGCACGTTACGGGATCCTCGAATCTACTGCAGAAACATTGGCTATGCCTAAACGTGGAACCATTATCCAAAGAGGAATTAGTGATCGTAGTTAAAACGCTGTTCCCAGCACTGAACACTGCTGCTACCAAAATAATAGATGTGTTCTTGTTGTTCTCTGTGGGAGATCATAATAGCGAAGGCAACGACGGAACATTGTCACTAAAGACCGGGCGACAAACGTCAACCCGAGATCTGATAAAGTGGTGCTCCAGAGCTATCGTCGATTACAACGTGTCGTCGTCGAATTCAGCATTGAAGATACTTCAAGATGCTATAGACGTCTTTTGCTGTTCAGTGACTGATCAAGGTACGCATTTACATTTGCTTCTTAGACATTACAATTATATATATGTAAATAAAAAATATTCTTAAAAAATATTTTAAAATATTCTAAAAAATATTCTTAACAGAATTATCTTATATATGGTCTCAAGACAATTTTTTTCTGAATCCTTTTTTTACAACCTGTATGTAGAGGATTCTGCTAAGAATAAGATTATATTTTTTTATATGTACTTTTTAATAATTTATATTGATAATTATAACGATGAACTTTGCAGAGCAACGCTTGAACTTGGCGAAAGCGATAACTGACAAACTCGGTATCATCAGAACGAAGGCAGAATACTTTTGCAACATACACAAGCCTGCCGTGACTCTCTTATCCAACGTTCTGATAGCTGGTAGAGCGAAGTTGCGTAAAAAGGTGCGCTACGTGGAGCTGCAGACCGACAGAACCAATTTCTCGTTCACGCGACCCTCCGCATGCTTACTACAGCGCATAGCCAGCTGCGTAGTGCAGAAAGAGCCGGTGTTGTTAGTTGGTGAGACCGGCACCGGGAAAACGAGTACGATTCAATACCTGGCGAAGAGCACCGGGCATAAGTTGACGGTCATAAACATGAATCAGCAGAGCGAGAGCACCGATTTGCTGGGCGGTTATAAGCCGGTCGAAATCAAGTTTTTGATTTCGCCAATTCGGCAAGAATACGACATCCTGTTCCGTTCTTACTTCGACGTCGAGCTCAATGAGAAATTCTTAGAGAAAATAGATCTGTTTTACAAGAATCAGACTTGGAAGGCTCTCCTGCAAGTAATGAGACATACCGCGCGCGCCGCCGTGAAGAAACTGCGAGAGAGATGCGGAGAAGCGAGTCAGGCATCCGAGGAAGACGCCTCGAAACATTCCAATGCGAACGGCGACGTTCAGGAGAAACGCGCAGTTCACCAGGACAGTCGATTCAACGTAGATATGTGGAGGAACTGGGAAAATCTACTAGAAAGATTGAACAAGCTCTACACCCAGGTGAGGAGTCAGTACGCGTTGACATTCTCTTTTGTGGAAAGCAGCTTGGTGAAGGCTTTGCGGGACGGTTCCTGGGTGCTCCTGGACGAGATCAATCTAGCCAACGCGGAAACGCTGGAGTGCCTCTCCGGCTTGCTAGAGAGTTCCTCGGAATCGCTGCCGTTGTTGGAGCGCGGCGATAGCGAGCCTGTGAAACGGCACCCGGACTTCATGGTGTTCGCCTGTATGAATCCAGCGACGGACATCGGCAAGAGGGACTTGCCAGTCGGCTTGCGAAACAGATTCACTGAGTTCTACGTTGACGAGTTGACCGAGCAGATCGACTTGCAGCTGCTCGTGAACTCGTACCTGAAGGAGATCGAGATGAAGAAGCACGAGGCAATCGTAAAGTTTTACTTGAACGTGAGAAAGGAGGCAATGAGCACACTATTCGACGGCACAGCGCACCAACCGCATTACAGTCTGAGGACGCTGTGTCGCGCGTTAAGCATCTCCGCGTCAAATCCTTGCGGTAACATCGTAAGATCCCTATTTGAAGCTTTCTCTTTGAGCTTCCTCACGCAGCTGGAATATAAGTCGTATCCGATCGTGCAAAAAATGATCGCGACCACCATCTTGGGTAATAATCAGGATATCAAAGCGATCCTTGGTACGGCTATACCGAAACCGAAGTGTGGTCCGGCAGAGAAGTACGTCAACATTGAAGGCTATTGGGTTCTGCAGGGTAGTTTAACGCCTGAGACGCCGAATAATGTAAGTGAGAAATCAGACATTCTTGGGATTATTGTAAATGTTTCGCACCATCAGAAATTTGCTGATTTATGTATCATTTTCATGATCTCCAAAGTTAAAAGTTGATGAGTGAGCTTAGCTAAGTCCGGGTCTAAGTGTAGTAAGCCTTTATGCTCTAAATTCAAAATTTTTATGTAATTTTCTGCTAAAAACATCTTCCACTGCTACCGGAAGTCATAATTATTAATTAAGCTTTAAGGTAGTTGGTTAAATTCCAATTGTTAAAGCAGCGAGAAAAACGCGGCTAAACGGGGAAAAGAGATAGATTTAAATATTAATCTATTAGCGTTCAACAATGTAATGCTGCACATCTTTTCAAAATTGATATTTTCATTGCAGTACATATTAACTGATTCTGTCAGAAGAAACTTGCGAGACTTAGTAAGGGTAGTGTCGATCGGTAAATTGCCGGTTTTACTGCAAGGCGATACATCGGTAGGGAAAACGAGTTTGATCACATATCTGGCAAAAATTTCGGGACACGTCTGTGTCAGGATTAACAATCACGAGCACACAGATCTGCAGGAATACGTTGGAAGTTACGTCGCGGACGAAACAGGGAAGTTAGTGTTCAAAGAAGGTATCCTAGTCGACGCGATGCGTAAAGGTGAGTACCGTAATTTTGTATGTAAATGCCGCTCCGGATAAATTCGTACCACAATTAAAACAAATCGTCCACAGGATATTGGATTATTCTGGATGAGTTGAATTTAGCCCCAAGCGATGTTTTGGAAGCTCTAAATCGAGTCCTGGACGACAACAGAGAACTATTTATATCTGAGACGCAACAGGTTGTAAAAGCGCATCAACATTTTATGTTGTTCGCAACGCAAAATCCCCCTGGAATTTACGGCGGTCGGAAGGTAAAATAACACTCTTTGAAGATGAATTATGTTTCTTTAAACCCAGAAGATCAAAGCGAGACTTCTCTCTTGAAGTTATCTCGCGAGAGAACTCTCTTAAAGTAAATATCTTACTTTGAAGAATTTACAAATGCATGATTGTTCTTTCAGGTTCTATCCCGAGCGTTCAGGAATCGATTTGTAGAGTTGCACTTCGACGAGATACCGGCCAACGAATTGCAGATAATACTCGGTAAGAGATGCAGTATGCCCGAGTCGTACTGCAAAGAAGTTATCAGCGTGATGACGGATCTTCAGATAAGACGTAAAAGTACAGCGGCTTTCGCCGGTAAGAAAGGTAGGTGACGATCGTATGGAGAAAAATTGAGGAAAGAGAGGAACTACACATGTGTAGCGCAACAATTTCGTTAGAATAACCGATAAACATGTTATTTCCTAGGATTCATAACGCTACGCGATCTATTTCGCTGGGGCGAAAGATACAGATTGGCATCCATCGTAGACAACACATTGTACGACTGGAGGCAGCATCTAGCAGAGGAAGGTTACCTCGTTCTCGCGGCCAAAGTCCGCAAAACGGAGGAAGCGGACGAGATACGTCAAGTGATAAAGAAACACCTGAAAAGGGAGGTGGATCCTAACAAGCTGTTTACGCTGAACGACAATACCTCTCCCGTAACCAAGCGCATACTGGAGGAAATCTTGAACAACGAAATCCCGGGTTTCGGCCACATCGTGTGGACTTATCACATGCGCAGAATGGCCGTGCTCGTAAAGAAATCCTGTCAGTTCAAGGAGCCGGTGTTGCTGGTCGGCGAAACCGGCGGTGGTAAAACCACCATATGCCAAGTGATCGCCGCTATCAACGGTCAAACGATGCGTGGCGTGAACTGTCACATGCACACCGAGTCGTCTGATTTTCTAGGAAATCTACGACCCGTGCGGGAGCACGCTGAAAATGACAAGAGGCTGTTCGAATGGGTGGACGGACCTTTGATAAACGCCATGCGTAACGGCGACTTGTTCTTAGCTGACGAAATTTCCTTGGCAGATGACAGCGTCCTGGAACGATTAAATTCGCTGTTAGGTATGCGCTATGATTTCTCTCTGGCTCTTCTCTGATTTACTGCTCCAACTGGCTAATTATTTTCTATTGTATATGCAGAACCGGAGCGTAGCCTTCTGCTGGCCGAAAAAGGAATAGAGTCTTCGCACGGTGAGGAGAATACCGTGATCGTAGCGGACGAGAAGTTTGTGTTTATTGGCACGATGAATCCTGGCGGTGATTACGGTAAGAAAGAACTCTCGCCGGCATTGCGGAATCGCTTCACTGAGGTATGGTGCGAGGGATGCGCGGTCAGAAATGATCTGCATAATATAATAGTACACAATCTTCGCGTTGAGTTACAAACATTGAAAGAATCCGTCTCCAACGCGATATTGAGATTCACCGAATGGCTACACAACACCGAAGTTGGCAAGAAGCTCACTGTGAGCGTACGAGACATGCTCACATGGGTGAATTTTATAAACACGTGCACTGTTGACGTGTCGTCATCGCTGCTAACGATCGGAGACGCGTATTATCATGGCGCTTGCCTCACGTACATCGACAGTCTTGGGTCTGGCACTACGGGCGCAGAAAGGTAAATATCATTAACAAAATCAATCCTTGATATTAATCGTTCATTGTATTTGCTGTCGAATTTCAATATAGATGTTTGATTTTTGGCGTGATAAAAAGTGCAATAACTAGTCATTAATTGTTATTGTCTGCAAATTTTACTTTCAGTATCGAAAAATTGAAGAGCTTTGCGGATGCTGCTACCCGATTTATTAGATCAGAGCTTGAACATACGATAAAGTCAGATCTTGATACAGAGACTCTCACGGTGAAGAAAAATACCATGCTGACTGATTCAAGTAACGTGTTTGGGATACCACCGTTTTACATTGAAAAAGGTCCACACGCTTGCCGCGATGATCGCGCATTCACCTTCTCGACTCCCACTACGAAGCTGAATACGTTAAAGTTGCTAAGAGCGTTGCAGCTGAGCAAACCGATCCTGCTGGAGGGAAGTCCAGGTGTAGGAAAAACCAGCCTGGTTTCTGCGCTCGCCAAAGCCGCCGGGCATACTTTGCTCAGAATCAACTTAAGCGATCAAACGGTACGCATCGCAATAATAACAAATGATTTTCATCTCATTCAACTCATTCTTATATCGAACGATTGAACCACTTGAAATGGAAGTCACAAAAATTAAAATAACTTATATGTTTCTGTGTATTGCAGGACGTATCTGATTTGTTCGGTGCCGATCTTCCCGTGGAAGGTGGCAAAGGCGGCGAGTTTGCATGGCGGGACGGGCCATTTTTGCGAGCTCTGCGAGCAGGATATTGGATTTTGCTTGACGAATTGAACTTGGCTTCTCAATCAGTTTTGGAAGGCCTCAACGCATGCTTCGACCACAGAGGAGAAATATATATTCCCGAGTTAGGAAAGACCTTCTCGGTGAAACCCGGCACAAGACTGTTTGGCTGTCAGAATCCCCTGCAGCAAGGTGGAGCCAGACGCGGCTTGCCGAAGTCCTTTTTAAACAGATTCACTCAGGTAACTTGTACAAGATGTTATAAAGTAGCTTACGGTCTCTGGAGTGCGTCAAACTAAATATTATGTCTTGCAGATTTCCGTAGACGCGTTAATGGAGGACGACTTAAGGTTTATACTCGGCGTGAAATTCCCACAACTTGCTACGAGTCTGATCAACGACATGGTACGGTTCAATAGTATATTAGCGTCGGAGGTTGGCGTCACGTGGGGCTGCGCCGGGTCTCCTTGGGAAATGAATTTGCGTGATATTACACGATGGTGCGAAGCAACTATCGAAGCCACTCGTAACGAGTTACGCGGCGATAAAGAGTATTTTAATCCAGGCCACAGTGTAGAACTCATTTATGTCGACAGAATGAGAACTAAAGAAGATCGACAAAAAGTGAGTCAATCGTCGTTATTACTTAATATCGAAAATCGTGAAAGTAATGGAATAAAAATAGATTTGTGTCGAAGCAAGAGAGTTTACTCTGAACTCTTCTTTTATTGATGAAACATGACTTATATATTATAAGTCTTATAAGTCTTCTAAAATTAAATTATTAGCACTTTTAAATAAGATAAAAATAAATTCAGAATAAACACAGAATTAAATAAACAGTAAAATATAAAATCATTTTTTAGCGTTGTATCACATTTTTCAAACTTCGTATTTGTTTTTCAGGTCTACCATATATATCAAGAGATATTCTCGCTCGAGAAATATCCGCTCCCGCCTAATAAGCTACCCATGTACATCACAGCGGATAAGCTTTTCGTTGGCGATGTGACGTTAAGCCAGAGAGATTGTTGCGCGCACGAGGAGGACAATTTGTTGTTACTCAGAGATCAAAAAACGGCGTTGAAAAGTCTCATGCAATGCGTGAAGATGAATTGGATGTCTATATTGGTACATTTCACTATATTACATATTATCGCATATATTTATTAAAATATTCTTCGTTTATGGACAATTGATTCTAATTATTGTATTGTATTTTTTCTAATTATTATTATTGTATGTTACAGGTCGGTGCTTCGGGTTGTGGAAAGAGCAATGTGGTTCGTCTACTCGCTGCTTTAACGGGTCAGCAACTAAAGTCGATAGCCGTGAACTCCGCGATGGACACAACGGAGATATTGGGTGGCTTCGAACAGGTAAGTGGCGACGTGAGACAGATAATTGAATATTACTTCGTTATCGGTGATTTCCGATATCTTTTGCATATTTAAAAACGCGAAATACGATCACGCGTTTACTTAACATTGCACGATTTCATGCCGGAGAATTAATTTTTATTTTAAACTGCTTTTCTTTGAAAGGGATAGCAAAATCACTTAGACCCTCGGGTTTTCTTGAAACGGTAAAAGATATATAACAAATTATATACATATATATATATTACACATACTTTATTTAAGGTATGTGAACAGGGTTTTATACATATACATATGTACAATTAAATATGCATGCTTTCTCTGACAAGGATAGATTTGTGATTTGTATATTCTGAATAATTTGGTGTGTCATTTTGCATATCTTTCGCTGTTAATTCGCAGCGGTTTTTCGGTTTCTCAGGCACCGTTCGCTTAGAAAAGTCCTTAACAATACTTTCCCCTGACGAGATTATTTAGAATAATTTGCTCCAACATCAGCAGGCATCAGCCCTCTCAAATACGCTCCATGAAAAAAGAAGGTTGTTTTCGATAACAATTTCAAAACGTACATTAATCAAATGATCTCGGAAATTAAAAGAAAATTATCTCCTCTTACAAACTAGAGAAATAATTCGAATTCAGCTTCTGACAGATAATGTACGAGAGATTAAAATGCATACAATCGAGGTGTAAAAAGAATTGCTTTAAAATTTATATTCGTTTTGTCGAGACAACTGATGCAGCAAACATGAAATGAGACACATTGTGAAAGAACGATCGTACATTGAACGCGTAATTGAAACAGCACCAAGATCTTCGGTGCGTCTGCAATTCTCTTGTACATACGAATGCTATTTCTTCTCACAATCGCCGTTCACCATCGATACAGATAGGCCACTTTCGTTCTCTCCCGACGTAGCATTTACAAAATTACGATAAAAAATTTCGGTTTCGTTCGGACACTTTCTTACTTTACGCGTGTACTCTGTTTTTACATTTAAACATTTATCTCATACGCGATTTATATACGTATCTCTAAGGAGAAGATGTCGTGCGGTAGTTGCGATTAATTGACTTGTATCCAAAGCAGCTTCCTTCGCGCGCTGCTTCCAACGCATCTCCGGCGGAAAATGGCGGAAAGGGGGGCGGGGGGCAACCGGGGAGGGGAGTCAGGACGAGAACATTAATCTCGCGTAATTTCAATATCAATGCCAACACCATTCGTGTCCACGTGACATCTCACTATGTCTACACACGTGTAAACGCTTCTTCGTCCGCAAACGTCTGTAAACGTTCTACATTGATATGCGCTTTTCGCTATACAGTAAGAAACGGTCTCTATGCTAACACTTTTAATACACTTTAATACATATCATATATTTTAGTAGTGCCAATAACGCACACATATTTCCTTCTTCTTTATAATTTCGGAACGAAATCGCAGCGATCTGCTCATATCCTCGAACGGTCTCATAAATGACACAAACACACGTTGACGTCAGAGTCATCGGAATTCACGTAAAAGCTCCGATACCTTTTTTTCTTTTTTTTTTACATCACGACTGAAATACACCTGTCATAGTTAAGAGAATGATTCCTCACAATTATGTTCTACCGACCACGATGTGATACCGCGCAGTTTGATATGAGTAATTTTTACAGATTCTTTTCTTTCTTTTTTTTTACATAAAATTCATGGATTGCTTTATTCTTAGCGATTCTTAATAATCAGAAGTTGTATCTCACTCGTGTGAAATACTAATATCTATGTGCCTTAAAAAATCACGTGGCAAAATATTTTGAAACCCTGATCGAGCTTGGTCGATTCTGAGTTCTATTAACTGAGTTTTGATTGTTCTTAACGTTACGACTCCTCTTGTTCGTTTGCTCTCGTTTCAGTGTCTAAATCTTACAGTTCTCTCGATATATCCTCGTAGTATCATGATATAATCCTTTCTGTGTCCCAGTATTTCTCGGGGAATGCGACGCCGAAATTGTTCGAATTTTTCTTTCTTTTATTGCGACGGGGATAAAGGTTGAAGATACGCAAGGATACATTGCTCTCTCAGTTTGCTGTTTTTGGGATTCCAAGTCCTAGCAATAAATTCACATAAGCTTCATTTGTAATTAAATCGGAATATATTGAAAACGATTACGAAGAACGTCGCTAAGGAGTAAGAGAGAACGTACAAAACGATCGTTCCGACGGAACCGAGAGAATTGATTACATCCACCCTCACCGTGATTACTTCCCAATTTTCTCGATCGAGGAGCACATGACCACGAGGTGATTCACGGAAACCAGAGACTCGTATCTTCTCATTAGTCTCTTGTTAATCGTCTCTTTACTACAGACGAATGTTTTTTGGTAATGCGTCGGTCGGTCAAATCGCGACGGGACATCGTGCAGACATGGTGATCTCGCAACGCGGGGCAGACAGGAGGGGGGTTTTACGAACCTCAAAATCTCGCATAGAAAATATATATGTGATTTCAGTATACGTATACTATCTTATCTCGAGAAGATTGAGTCCCCAAGTGAGAGAAGCTCGCGTGAGAATGCCACTTTTTACGAAGGACTGCGCGTTTCGATCGTTATGTGTGTGTATACACTAATAAGTGCACCTATGTAGCTCGGTCTAAACAAAGGAACTATGGATCTCTTCCTTCTCGTTACACATTCTCTTTTTCTCACCCTAGTTTTCGTCCTACGACTGCATCAAGGGAAGTGTAACTGAAGAAAGCAGACCTCGAGTTACAATTATCTAATGTACCTAAGGTGTCGCGTATCACTCCGTCTATGTACATAATGTATGTGTACGTGTGTGTACATAACTTCTCTAAGAATCTATCAATGACACCACAATAATGGAGATTAGGACATTCATAAGCAATCACAGTTACATTTAGATGATGCCCAAAAAAGACCACGCTTCTTCCCCCTCGATTTGTGCCTCGTGTGCCTTTCTTTCCTGCAATTACGGGAGATATTTCGTCGTGAGCGAAGTTAGTCACAGAGAAGAATTGAAATTCTGCAGAACTTGGATTGAGAATGATAAGGTGACCAGATTTCCCAGCCCTGAATTCGGGACACTTCATAAATGTGTAAAGCGGGGAAAGGGGGATAAAAAGATCCGAAAATTATTTGACAATCACTGAAAATGACGACAAATCGGTATCCCGAATAGCACTCGAAAAAATTCGGGATAAAGGGTGGAAAATCGGAACTGTCCCGAAAAAATCGGGGCGTCTGGTCACCTTAGCTGTATGTGTCGAGAAAGGAGGAGATTACTCCGTAATAATGTACTTACGATATATCCTGACGACCGCATGTCGTTATTTTCGGCATACTTATTTCCGCAGGAGACACAGGATACAAGCGAAAGACATATGGAATACGGAGTGTTATGTCCATGGCAGTTGCTCGTCATGAAAAGATCGCAGACGCGCGCGCGCTGTCAATCACGTACATGAAAAGTTCATTAGCGCGCCGAAAATACCAAAAGTGCATGAATGTGAACGCGCCAGTGCGAACGAGGTCGCGTTGTCTACAACAACGCGATTTGTGTGGCGGACGCCTTAACCACTTACTCGAGTTACTAACTACTCTAGACCAATCGCGTTCGTTTCGCACTATGAGGTTGTCATCGTGGTTATTCAATATAGATGTTGGTAATGAAACGCGCGAAATGCTCGATCTTTTCGCGCCAAGCAACAGCCATGGACATACATCGATCCACATCGCTCCGCGTTTCTCGCGTCTTTTATCCGTCGAAAGTGAGTCTCGCGCGTTAATACGAGTCTCGTAAGTCTCGGAAGTGTCGAGAATAGCGATGTGCGATCACCGGGGCGTATCGTGAAGACGTCATTTATAAGTAATCTTCTCGTTTTTCCTCGCGGTATATGCAGCCGGTGCTTGTCGCGCCGACGTTCCTTACATTTGCTAATAACATCGACTCGCTCAAATAGTAATAGAATCGGGCGATCGTCGGATTTATTGAACGAGAATTAGAAATGCGATGACAATCAGAGAGAGAGAGAGAGAGAGAGAGAGATGCGGGATATTCGGGCGGTTGCGTCAGCTTGTTTGGAAAAGAGATACGAAGAAAGAAGTATCTCATAGAACGCGTTCTTTTCGGCCGCGACGCCGTTCACATATTGGCGTATATTTTCAGCGCGATTCAATAATCGCGCGGCCATCTTGATTCTCGATCTTTCTGCATCGAGTAACCGCCGTGGACACATCACATCGCTCCGCATTTTACGCATCTTTAACCCGTCGAAAGTGAATCTCGCACGGAAATAAGTATCGGGAGTGTCGAGAATAGCGATGTGCGATCACCGGGGCGTATCGTGAAGACGTCATTTGTAAGTAATCTTCTCGTTTCTCCTCGCGGTACATGTTAGATGACCAGATTTCCCAACCCTGAACACTTTATAAATTCGGGACACTTTATAAATGTGTAAAGCGGGGGGAGGGGGCTAAAAAAATCCGAAAATTATTTGACAATCATTGAAAATAATGATAAATCGGTATCCCGAATAGCACTCGAAAAAATTCGGGACAAAGGGTGAAAAATCGGGACGTCTGGTCACCTTAAGAATGGATGATACAGCCGAAATTGATAGACTTCACTAGAGTAACTCTCTCGTGTGATTGTGTGTGCGAACATACTTTCATCATTTAGCGCGAATATGATACAGAATGTCCCGAGACTGATCCGATTATGATGTGATCCGAATTTTTCGTTGACGAAAATCTCACGAGATCGAAATGATGCAAAATTGAAGCAGCGCACCGTCGATCACAGCGTGCGCGTTACGGCGAGTTTTATATTTCACATCGTTCTCAATCACGGCGACGCGTGTTCGAACGCAACGTTAACGCGTGCAGCTTGAAATTGAGCGGTTATCCCCGGGGCATTCCCGCACGGTGAATGGGTCGCTCGTTTTTTTACGATAAAAATTCTCGAGAAGGATATCCTAGCCAGGAGCGGTGAAAAATGGCACCGCGTACACACGTTCTGAGCGCGGCGTAACGTCAACGCTATTCCTCGGGGATAAAAACACAACAGATCTCTCTGGTGATTGATTATACACATTTCGAGCCACGATTTCTCTCGGACATGACGGCTGCGTAAATTGACATGGAGATGCGAGTGCGAATTTTGCGAGGAAAATCAGTCTATCGATAACTCCGAGTCTAATAGACGCCGCGTGTCGCAATAGCGACAATCGATTCGTCGCTTGTAGACGTACACGGAGAAAACATGGTAAAGCGAAAATTATATCTCACTTTACAATGTTTTTATAAAATTGGACTATGCTAACCTGTTGTAATATAACAAATTACTATAGAAATAATAAATTTGACGCTCTACTGAATATGTGCACGATATAAAAAAAAAGGGGAATGACAATAATCTTGTAGCAAAAAGTCAAAAGTGCAGAACCTTTTTAAACGAAAATTTAAATAGTAAGTTTGGTCATGATTTCTATATGGTCCAAGATTACAAAATTTTGTGGTAATTTTTACTACAATATTTTCTTATACGTGCCAAAATCGACAACGAAATATTAAGCATTTCTACGATTAATTTTACCGCACAACAGCTCGACGTAATCTTGCTTCTCGACGTCGCGATAGATCTTTCATTTCGTCCGTGTGGAAAATAAATCTCGCGTACGCGAGATTTATTCGCGTTGTCGTTGAAAACTGCCCTCAAAGCTTCGTGAAAGTCCTCGAGAGGACGACGACGTAAGTGCGCAAACAGTCGTCGTATCGATAGCACACTTTGATTGATCTCATCGACGATACAAATGTCCGGTTGGAGTAGTAACAATGTTCCGGGAAAGGATCTCGCACGAAGGGGGTTTTTTCCCGAGAAATATGTTTCGATCGAATGCTCATAGCGCGTCATTCACTGGTCGTCATGGAGTTTTTTCATAGTTTTTTCGGCCAAGGGCGTCAATGCGCGTCCGGCCAATTCTTCACTCGAAGTTTATTCGCTCGGCAGGTCGCTACTCGTCGGGCTCATTTGGAGATCGTTCATCTCCGACGGTGGTGGCAGCAACATGCTCGGCCTCCTAGACAGATCCTCCTCGTAGAGACTGGTGGTGCTCTTCGGTCTCGAGGAGAGGCTCCACGGATCGGGCACCGGGATGGAGTCGTCCTGCGTGACAATTTCACAGAATCTCGTTTGAGTGAAAATGTCGAAGTCGAGCGCGGGATTTCGACGATTATTATTCGGACGAACAGTGTCCTACCACCAGTAAGTGTTTGGCAGTCGGTGGCAAGGGTGGCTTCAGGAGCGCCACGTCGGTAAGATTGCAACCCGGCGGTGCGGCTTGCGCTGCCAGGGGTGGATCCGGCGGTGAGGGTAGGTTCATCGGCGGCTCGTAACGGGGTGGTTGGACGTTCTGTATCGGGCTGCTCGCGGCGGATCCGAGGATCCAGCGGGCTATGCTCTCGCAACAGCCGCAACACACGTCCGACATCCCCTGTCGCAATCCTCGGTGCAGGGCGAGGAACAAGGCCGGGTTCACGAAGGCGTGTACGTACGCGATGTGTAGGGTCACCTGGTACAACACAGAGACTGTGTAAGACGGCGATTGCGGGACGGTACATAACTGCAGGACGGTACATGATTGCGGAACGGTCCCTTGCGATACACAAATTGTAAACATAAGCGTGCGCGAGTTAATTGAAGAGCAGGTAATAGCTTATCTTGCGTTACCTTAGCGTTGCAAGATGAAAAGCTCAGGAGGATCATAGACGCGAGAACTTTGGTCTTTTGCGCTTAAAAGAAACCATTCCCTTAAAGAGTATAAGTAAAAATGTTTCTGATTGAATTATCAAAAGGAGTATTTCACTGGTAATCAATGAATGTTCATTGATTCACTGAAATGTGCTATTAAAAAAATTGCTACTGAGAGCAGAAATATATAAGAAATAAAAAATGTTTATTCAAAATTCATTGTCAAAATTCACTGATTTTCGGTAGAAACTCCCGCTTTACTGCTCTATCTTATATCTCACGGATTTTGATCAGTGAGTTTTTGTTGCAAAATCTGTGATACATAAATTCGTTATACACTGCGAAGAATATACTGATTATATTTTAAAGAGTAACGGAATCAGTTGCTCCATATACAAAGAAAAAACGTTTGAAATTATATTTGTCGGACATAAAGTTTATTTTTGTGAAATAAACTTGGCCTACAAAATCCTACAAATAAATTTTGAAGTACTTTTTTCACGATGTATAGGAAACATTGACCTAATTGTTTGTACAGATTAGATTATCTTAATTAAACGAGGGTGAAGTTTGGAAGGAACTCCTTTTCAGAGCGCACGGAGCGATTTTTCAATTTATACATGGAACAATATCGTGGAGTTTATTCAGAAGAGTTGACAGAAGCAGGAGAATTATTAACTAGTGTCTTTTTAGTGGAAAATTGTGTTTTCTTGGGCGCACTCTTGAATATTTGAGAAGATAAAACTTGCCCGCACAAAAGCGTTTCGCGATGTCTCATTAAATAAATGATAAGCCATAAGTTGTCAAAAATTGGGTCGATAAGTAAGTGAGACGCGTCGCAATAAGGATCGTCTTTTCTTATTGCATTTCGCGGCAGTTGGTCGAAAATCGTCGAAACGCCGGGCGTTTATTACACATCGCGAAGATTAAACGCACCTATTTCGCGCATCCGGTGTGCACGTTGCGGCATCAGCCGCCGACACGACACATTCGAAATTATATTACTCGCCTCCCCCTTCCTCCTCGTGCTTTTTTCTCCCTCTTCAAAATTTATATTCTCGCGGAAAGACTCTTCTTCCCTCGCGTAGTTGTGAATTCGCTCGATCGACTCGCAATTCACGGGCGAATGTGTATCGGCACGGTTGAGCGAGTTTCGCTTTCGCGGTTTCTCGCGAACTTTTCGCATTCATTCCCATCTACGCGTCGTGTCGGTATTGCGAATCGAACTAAAGTCGTTATCTTTCACAAGCTCCTCGTTGTGTCTTTTACGCACGTTTTTCAGTGGCCATCCCGTAAAATTCGATTATTTAAAAAACGCGAAAGCATTCACGTAAATTTCTTTGAATTTGAAAAGTTCATTCAAAGTGAATGAAAAATCATCCAGATTTGAGTGACTCGATGATTACTGCCCACTTCTTAACCGGTTCACTGGTGAACTCGGAACCAACGTTTCGTGCCAAAACTGGTGAGAACAAAAAAATTCCGCATTTTCCGCATGAAAACTTATCTAATAAGGGGTTTTTTGGGTAACTGATTACGAATTCGAGGTCAAATTTGTCCCTACTTTTACCCTATGCACCAAAAACTAATATCCTTTATATCATTCATTATATTTCCAGGGTCAAATTTTGTCTAAATTCTGAATATATTTTTATATTGTTTCATTTTATAATTTATAATATAAAATTTATAATATTTCACTAGCTAATAACCCATACAGCACAAAATCTCTTGGGGACGTCCCACAGATTTCCTGAGGAAAACGTCCCCAGGACGTTCTCAGGACGTACTCTGGACGTCAATTTGTGCTGTTAGGGAACGGAGTATCCATGGAATCATACCGAATATCATACCGAGTTTGTTCCGTATCTGTAATAGAATATTAAAGTTAGTCACTTGAAACCGTCATATTGGATCCGTCACTTTAAATTTCTCAAATTTGACCTCGGATTCTTAATCAGCGATCCAAAAAACATGAGAGTAGCAAGTTTCATGCAAATCCGATGAAAACTGACGGAGATATACAGCGAACACATATATGTGTGCTTACCAGTAAATCGGTTAATAGAAACATCACTCCAAGAAATTTGGAAAGTACAATCGCCGAAAAAATACAAGAAGAAGATTGAACCGAACGCTCGAAATCGGCTCCAATCGCCACCACTTGACATTGTCTGCATTCGTTTGTATCGATATTCCGCATAAACTACGCGATTGTATGAAAGATTATTCCTGGCGCATTTATCCTCCAATATTAACGAGAGATCTTATTAGTTCGCGCAATGAATAAACAACGTCGACATTTGACCGCCGTTTTTACAGGATTTCGATCCGCGAACATGCGCGTTCGTGTATGCGGGACGCGTATTAATATCCATCCCGATGTGTCGCAGGGATGCATAAACGCGCGACTACATCAGCCTTCGGGATATTGTGCGCCGATCGGAAGAGTACACCTTCGAGATCGCGCGTAAACATCGAAGATGCATCCGCACTTCGCGCGAGCACGTAACCGTCGGCGTGCACGCGCGCCCACGGATACGAAAACGGTCGTTATCTCGTTATCTCGCCGCGGGAGTCTATCCATTCTAATTTACCTCGTAGCCGGTAGGATTTCCTATGACAGGATGGTGCACCAGGGTAACGAAAAACAATGGTCCCCAGAATATGACATACGCCGCCGTTATGACCAGGAACATTTTCACTCGCTGCACGCCCTCGCGTTCCATCCTCCTCAGATAATTCCTCATCTTCCGGTGCTCCTCGATGGCACCGATCCTCTGAAATATCGACGGGTGCCATTTCATTTTTTCCCAAGTGACTCGCGAAACCATCGCAACATCTTCTCGTCTGCACCTTATTCGGTCAGATCCGGTATTGGCATTCGTGAAAGCGTGAAAAAGTCGTCAGCGGAACGCCGAGGTGAACAGAGAGAGAATTTTGCAACCAAAATTACTGTGAAATTTCGTAGCCGAGGAACAGATCGACATTCCGCGATAATTGACTATCCCTTCATTTCATATGTATAATACTTATTTCGGGAAGTGAAATGAAAAAATTCGCAAAAAAAGAGAGATATATATATAAGAGATTAAAAATTAAAAACCAATAAATAGAGTCTATAAAAGTCAAGAGTACAAGAATTTGTTACATAAGAAATTATAATAATTTTTACAAAATATAAGAATTATCGCATATAAACGTTTCGATCCTCAAACGTTTGGAGCTTCTTCAGTATAAAATAAATTTTGCCCTACAAAAGATCGGTGATAGGAAATGGTAAATTTACGAAATGTTTGCCATCCTGAATAAAGAGGCTGTTCAAATCCATAGGAGATTGGTGCTATTATTGCTAGGCTATATCAGAGCATTTCCTAATGCCCGAGAGATTGGCAATTTTAAGCCGGCTTGGTCAGTCATCAACAAACTTGGAAAGTCAATTGTAACGGTTCAATACATAAAAATACATAAAAGTCTTCTTTTAAAAAATTGGCTACGCTGAGAAAAAAATATCTAAGAAGTAGAAACAATTTATTCGCTAAGTATATTTACGTATACTATGAAACATTTCTTAGATAGGAAAATATATATTTTCTTAAAATCTCCGCTTTTAATGAAAGCAATTGTTTATTCTGTTTAAATAGAAGTCACTCCATGTTGTTGTAAAAATGAAAGAAATGTTGATTTATCGTTTAAAATGATCGACCGAGGCGATTTTTCTTTTGCGTACACAAACGTGCGGAAATGTGCTGTTCGCATCGGAAATTACCGCGATGATTCTTACCTTCGGCGTCGTGCCGTTCCTCGTGTCGACTGCGCCGTCTTCGCTCGCGAGCGCGTTCGTCGCACCCTGATGTCCTCCTGTCACGTTAACGAGCGTTGTAACGAGACCAGCTACTCGTACCTGAAGATAAGCACGGTCACACGGAAACGGGAGAAATTTGTGCAATTGGACGGATAATATTCTCGCCAGCTGTCCGCGCGAAAAATCGAGATAGATGTTTTCGCAAAGGCGTAAAAAGAACGTTGCTCCGGGATAAAATCTCTTTATCCCGGTCCAACGTGCCGCTGTGCCAGCGTACGTTTATTGCATTTTTTTCGCGTATTTTTTTATCTATTTTCTATAACGTGAAATTTCATACTTCGATATCCTATCGATAACTGCATGTATGGCTGTTTATTTTCAAAACGGTCCGATTCCATTCCCCGGAAAAAGTCGGTAATTCGATTGCTGCACTTACAAATAAACACGAAGAGAGTAGAAATGACGGAAAATGGATCATTTCGCTCACCGCTTCGACGTTAGCTTTCGTCAGATCTCTGTGCAACTTTCTCAAGTGGAAAAGCGTGAGCGCCACGCAAATGATGTTGATGACTATCCAGAGAACGTTGAGTATGTAGTGACGAAAAGGGCCGTGCACCAACGGACAGCTGGGCGCGTTGTGGCCGCTTTCCGTGTTCGCTGCCAGAGCCCCGCTGAGAAACGTGGGTCCCAGATTGATCGTTATACTGGCGAACCAGATCATGAAGGTACCGAAGAGCACGCACTGCGAACAATGGAAGGTTACACGGAAAAGTTTCCACGAGGAAAATCCGTCTGATGCGCGTCAGTGTTGGGCATTAATCGATTATAATTTTATTTGACTGAAATAATTGGCAAATAAATAATCAAACTAATTCAATCGGCACATAAATAATTACACTCTGAGAAAAAATAATTGGAAATTTATTCGTTTTTGTATTTTCTTTTTTTTTTTTTTATTACAAAAATAAGCTTTATAGTCAACAAATAAGTTTTCAAATATTTGTCTCAGTATACAGATAATTTAGTCGATTGATAAAATTAATTATTAATCAATTTACAATCAATCAAATCGAAATTTGATTGATAATTAATTTCAACGATCGATTAAATTATTCGCGGTTTCATGCATATAATGATTGATAAATTTTGACTATGAATTTGCCGATTATCAGTCAAATGAGATTTTAATCGATTAATTCCCAGTAATAATTCGCGTCACGTTTTCTCCGAGCTTTTTGCCAACTAATTTACCCTCTACGATCACGTTTTGGTTGTAGTTAAGGATTTTCTAAATGATATAATAATTCTGATTAATCATCACTAATTATCAGCCGACAGTGAAGCACAATTGATAGGATGTGTTTTTCGCGATTCAATCAAAACATTTGCGCAAATTCTCGGCACGCTTCGTAAATATCGCGGACTATTTTAACCTAATTACCTAATTTTACCGGCTTGATCAATGCCGGTAATTTATGCGAAACAGTTCCGTGGAAAGAAAGAGAGAGGAGAAAAAGGAAGCGGTGGCGAATTTAAGCTGACAAATTTAAATCGAATAGCGGCGCATTTTGTGTTTGATCCGACAATTCCGTGGCAACGGGATATTTCTCAGCAATTATGCAAACTCGCATAACTTCGTTCAACGTGGCGCATTCGCAAAATCACGAAGATACTATTGGGGAAACACCAATCATTAGAAACGTGGGTTGTAAATTTTTTGGTCGTAAATTTTGTACACGCGCTCGAAGACTTCCGCGATATTTCACGAATATTTATTCGCCCGATCAAGCGCGCATTCTCATTTGGGGTATTGCGATCGGTCAGTCCGACGACGACGAATTTATGGTAAACTCGTTACCCTCGCTCAAACTCCAGAGTCCGGCGCGTCTGTGAAATCCTATAATCCGCAACTGATTCGCCATCGCGAAGAGATGGTAGGAGCCACTTCGGCGAAGCCGAGGCAAGTTTTGATCAGACGCTGTTACAACCGCAGTGTTCATCAGGATATACAGTAAATGCCACTTTAAGTGGCATTATTGTGCCTTGTATTATCACTAATAAACAGCGATTCCGGGTTTTACACGAAATGACGTCACGGAGAGCCACTTTCTTCGTCGACGCGTATATCTATGAGACGCGAATAAACGACGGACAGACAAAAAAATCGTGAATTAAAAAGGAGTTTTCCCACGAGAGAGGAAGAGAGAGAGAAAGAAATGAAGGAAAGGGAGAGAGAGTGAAAGAGACGAATATCAATGACGCCCGAAATAATCGCGAAAATGATTATTCCGACGTCTGCAGAGGTAGAAATAGAATAGTTTCCAATTTTTCCAGCGGCGAGGGGATACGTTAATAATAGGCATTGCGCATATGCTTAACGACAGCAGCGACGTGTCATTAGAATTTTGTCCCCCGCAAAAGCGAGTCGAGTGTCACTCAGAAACGTGCAGGTTACCGTGTTAAATTAATTTGGGGCTGACTGCAGGTACACGTGCGCGAGAAAGCCGAGTCGTTAGGGGATTAATTGCGCTAATTTCCCGGTTTCGGACGGAGTGCCAGGACGGTGGGTGCTCGTAATAATACTGAGTACGGCAGTCCCGTGAGATTCGCGTCAAACTTTCGGAGCTTGCGTAGCGTCTCGATGGATTCGAGGGAGGCGGGGGTAGGACGACTTTTTCCGCTCGGTAAGACTCGGGTGTTCCTCTCCTGTTGAATTCTTAATTAAATATCCCGACGGGGGTGTTCCCCCCCCCCCTAAAATGGATACGAAATCAGGGCGAAACGCTTCCGACAATTGACGGTAAATCGAGCTGCTCGCGAATGGAAGCGATATTCTTCGCAGTGCTCCGCGAGCAGTCGCGTTATTTTTTTTGTGATTCAACGTAGAGATTTACTACGTCGTTACAAACGCCGACCAGCACGTCCCCAGCCGCGATTTATTACACGAGCTGCCGCGCTTTCGGTCAAGATCGTGTGCATTAACGTCCCTCTGTGGCGGCGCGATTAATTTCCCTTTGAAAAATCCGATTCTTTCTCTCTTCCTCTCTCTCTCTCTCTCTCTCTCTCTTCCTCCCTTCTCTCCTCTCCCTCGGTCGCCCCCACGCACTTTGACACGTCCACGCTGCCACGCAGACGGCTTACGCCGCAATCAGTCACCGCTAAATTCGCTATCACAATGCTGCGGTTAGATGGAAATCTCTCTATCTCTATCCGTCTCCCCCCTACCCGCCACATATCACGCACCGCATGCAAGATAGACGATCGTTGTCTACGAAGTCGCGCATTTCACCCGTACGTCACCCGATGTTTTTGATCAATCTCCTGCCACAACCGGTCGGACTTGACTCGAGCTATTCATATTTTGAAAGCACAGCGCCTGTGCCCGACTAAAAATTTATACTCTGGTCCTGATCGGATCGTTTCTACTTAATTATTAGTTCGTATAACTTGCACAGTGATAATTTAAATTACATAACGTACAACATACCAATCTTATTAACAAGAAGGATTACTGATAATTAAAAGCCGATAACACCATTTTGTATAATTGATCGATCTCGAGGTTTGAAACATATTAAGGATTACTCGCTTGCCTGAAAATTCCGAGCTCTAATTCTCACCTGAGGCGAGTCCATCAGCAGGGGAGCGGTCAGGTCCGCCTCCTCGTCGCTCTCCGGGAATACCGGGCTGTCGTTTAGCACGGTCGTTAGCATATTTACCGTGGAAACGGTCACCAGCAGTAGAAAGGCAGTCTCGACCAGGGAGCACTTGTTAACGGGCTGACAATTCAATATACTGGAGCCCAGGGGCAGCAATATAGCCGCCCTCGCGCAGTCCACCATGGCTTGGTGGAATAACAGTCCCTGAGACCACCTGTGAATACCGTTGGGATAAACTGTGCGTCAACGCGTTTCTCTCTCTCTCTCTCTCTCTCTCTCTCTCTCTCTCTCTCTCTCTCTCTCTC